CAACAAAAGGGAGGCGAGAAAAATGGTAACCTGATGTTTTCTTTAACAATCAATCAATCATGCATTAATTTTGGTTCATTTTTCTCATGCTAAAATTTTTTGTTCCCTTTTGTCAAAGATATGGTGGGGAATTTCGATTGTTAACCGTTTGGAATGTATGGCTTTGAATCGTCCGCTCTTACTTGAGGAGAGGCATTGCACCGTCGATTATCCCGACCCAAATTTATGCGATGAATCTGAATCGAAAATCGTCGGATATTTCGTGCAATACTCCATAATCACAAGGATCATGTATGAAGTCTTGGAAATCTCCATGATGGACGATCAAAGCTCGGACTCTTCCGTTTCGCACCTGGAGGGGCGACTTGACGAATGGAGGCGCAACCTTCCTTCATTCTTGAACATCGAGGATGCCAAACCTTTGACGATGATGCCAGATGAAACGTCTGTTGAACACTTGAGAATCTATTTATGTATTCTTTATAATTATACGTTAATAAGAATCCATCATCAAAAGATCTCGTCTAACAATAGTTTGGAGGCTTGTACACAAGCTGCAAACAATATCACGGCTCTCGTGAATGAAAATTTTGTCAGCCTTATTAATAGTAACCAGTTTGTGGTCTATTGTACCTTATGCGCGGGGTGTATTCATGCATTTAACCTCAAAAGTTCACAACATTCGGTCAAAGCCAAGAATAGTGTATTTCAAATAGTTGAAGTATTTAAAAGTGTACTCTCCATACCATCATTGCGTAATATACATTATGGAATAAAAAACCTTATTGTACTTTTTGCTTTGCAACTTGAAATGGGATCGGGCTCCGATGAACAAACCATGCAAGTTGTTAAAGATGCGTTGAATTTAGTTACCGGAAACACAAGGATACCGGAGAATCACAACAACATTTCAACAGTTATAGGAGAAGTTCGACATAACGGTAGTGGAGACGACATTGGTAATATTATCAATAACAAGGGTATCCCGGGTCCTTCGTCTTCTCAGCCAGGTATTAATATATTGACGCAAACGGCTACCGCGGGTTCAACGACAGGTTTGCCGCGAATAATACTTCAACAGAGTCAACCTGTTTTCTCTTCATCGCCAACACCTTTATCACCATTGGGTCTTCCACCGGTGAATTCCGGTAAAATGGAAGCCAACAATAATAACAACCTTGGAAATTCATTGATATCAGACAACTATACTTCATCGCAATATAGTCAGCACCCACAGAATAATCAGAATCATTCTTCTCAGACGAGACCGAATAGTGACAACTCGCCGAATATGAACAACTCTTATTATTATTGGACGCAGCATAGCAACCAACTGCAACCGATTCAACCGCAAAATCATCAGGCGTCCTCCCATAATGCATTAACAGCAGAAACGTCAACACTTTTGGTACTGGGTAACTCCCAGGGATCATCTGCAGCATCGATGAATATTGGAAGAACCGCGACGCCTTCAATGACCATGGCGCCTACTTCTTCATCATTGCCACCATTGATGAATACCACAAGTTCGGCATCGACATCAATGTATTTGCCATTTCCTCAATATTCACCTGCTCAGCAACCATCGCAAACTCCACATCCATCTCAACAAAGACAATACTACCTGACCCCCAGTAATCCGAATCCTCCTAGAAATTATGTCGCGGGACCAGAAATACAAGATGGATTGACTTCGATGACGGGAATGGCATCGATCAATGGAGTGAGTAACGGTGGTGCTCCTACCCTGATCTCGCTACTTGACAATCAGAGGAACAATCAATCAAACGAAATTGGTGGAATTGGTCGAAAGTCACCAACGCAATTCCATTGGTATTAATTAAACCTAAACCTCCCCCCCTTTTTTCCTATCCATT